GGGCGCCGGGCGGAGGAGGCGGGGCCGGCGACATGGGGGCCGGCGGGGGCGGCTCGGGGGCGGCCACCGGCGCGTCTGTTTGTTTTAAGTAAATCAATAAATAAATTGAAACAACAAAATGAAACTGAAACTGAAAACGAAACGAAAACGAAATGGTGGAGGGGCGAGGTAGTTACCTCGTGGGGTGGTGGGCTTGGAGTTCTTGCCAGAGGAGATGCCCACGGCAGCGGAGGCGAGCGAGCCGGCGGGCGCGGCGGCGCTGTCGTCGCTGCTGGCGTTGATGACGCGCGCCTCCTTCATGAAGCCCGCCAGCACGTGCTCGTACGTGAGACCCGAGGCTGCATAGAAACATGGCTCAGCATTGTTGTTTGTGTATGCGTGTGCGTGCGTGCGTTGTGTGTGTGTGTCGTGCGTCGCATAGTTGTTTTGTTTTAGTGCAGAGAGCGAAGGATTGTGGTACCATTGCCCATCAGATCGAACTGGCGCAGGAGCTTGTCGATGATGCCCCAGACCTTCTTGGAGAGCGTGGGGTCCTGCGAGCCGCCGTCGAGCGAGAGTCCCAGGTGGAGCAGCGTGTGCATGATCGAAAGGAACGTCGATTCGTTCTCGGAGCCCTTGATCTTCTCCCACAGGGTGGTGATGATCTCGATCGGTTTGCTATATATATGGTCGAGAGCCAATCGGAAGAGGTGGTGGTGGTGGAAGCAGTGCGTGAGCATTTGACGTGAGAGAGAGAGAGAGAGAGAGGAGGCGGCGTACTCCTCGTTGGCTTCTTCGCCCTCGGCGCGCTTTCTGGCGGACATGGTCTGGTTCTTGAGCTCGGCGCCATCGTTCTCCAACTCCTCGTCGAACACAATGCACTGCTCCTGCAAGTCCTCATCGTCGGCGTGGATCGATTTCAATTCCTGCACATTTTGATCAAAACAGAGAGAGAGAGAGAACATTACAAAATTGGTAATTGCGCACATCAACGGGCTTGTTACAAAACAAAATAAATATTTCAAAAGAAATATTGGTAAAATACACACCTGAAAAGAAAAAGAAAAAGAAAAAGCGTACCGCCAGGATGTCGGTGATCCGCTCCACCATGAAGTCCTCGCGCACTTTGACGCGGTCCTTGATGGACTGGCCCTGCACGATCATCGTGTTGACGAAGGTCAGGAAGGCGACCTTGTAGTCCAGGTCCTCGCCCGTCTCGAGCTCCTCCATGAGGGCGTGGAAGTCCTGCGGGTAGACGGCCTTGTAGAGGCGCACGGCCGACGTCACATCCCTGGGGGGGGGGCAGTCGAGGCAGAGGTCAAGTCAGTCGCTGAGACCAACGTTCATGTGTCGTGTCGTGTCGTTGGTCGTGTCGTGTCGTGTCGTGTCGTGTCGTGTCGTGTGCGAGTGTCGTGTCGTGTCGTTGGTCACGTTGTGTCGGTTAGGTGTTGGAAGGTGGACGCACTTCCAGAGGTCCTCCGAGAGAAGGAGAATGGCGGCGAGCAACTCGAAGATGAGCGACTTCTTGTTGGTGGAGATGTAGGACAGGCAGCGCACGATCACGCGGAAACAGTCCGGGTACGACGTGAGCTCCTTGAGACCAGACTGTGTGATCCACACGAACGACGTGGTCAGCGCACATGTGATGTGATGTAAGTTGTGACAAGTTCAACGACAGAGGGAGCAGGGTCGCGTACGCCGCCGTTGTTGATCATTTCTACAATGCACGCCACCACCAATTCAAGTATCTCCACATCCTTCTTCCGCTTTCGGATACACCTGGATAGGGTTGCACCGCACGACACGCACGACACGACACGCAACTGTTAATAAGGTGCGACGCTCGTGTTGCGCGTGCGGTCGCGTGGTAGCGCGGGTGGCTGGAGAGTGTGCGTACCCGGCCTTGTAGACGTAGAAGGCGAGGCACTCGTAGAGCCAGGCCACGCCGCCAAACTTGATGAAGTTCTTCACCCAGTCCACGCTCGACGTGGCCAGCTTCTCGCAGAGCCCGTCCAGCGTCTCCACGTCCATCTTCTTCTCGCGCAGCCGCTCCACCATCACCTGAGTTGGCACCAAGGAAAGAGTAGCAGCAGCGCGTCAACACTTCATCAACCGGCTGTGAGGCAGGCAATGGAGGAGGAAGAGGTCGACGATGGCGACGGCGTACCAAGACGTCCGAGTCGAGATCAATCTTGGACTTGCTGCACTCCTCGAGCTTGCGCTGCTTCTTGGCGAAGGACCAGTCGAGCATGGCGTCCCTCTCTGGGTCGCCGGGAGCCAATCCCAACGCATCCTGAATGGCGGCCGCTACGCGGTAAGAAAAGAAAGAAATCGTGCACACCCCCAACCGTTGCATCGATGCCCTCTTTTCCTCTCATTTGTGTAAAAGATGGTGCTCGCAGAGGCTGAGGCGCCCCGGTCAGTCACCTCGATTTGTCGATCTCGCCGTGATGTCGATCAATTGGAACAATTGATATAAATTAAAAACAAAAACAAAGGCGGTCGCTGGGAACGCGCGTACCATGAGGCGTGTGAGTTTCTGATTTATGGCTTCGCGTTCGGCCCGCTTCTTCGCTACCGAACCGCGAGAGCCATCCTTGTCCTTGTCTTCATCTTTCTTTCGAGACGAGAACATAATGATTTTGCCTATCGATGGTCGATCCCTTCAGTTGTCGCGATGTCAAACAGTTCTTCTCCCTCGAGTGACACTCCTTGGCTTGGGGGGGGGGGTTATTTCTTGCGTAACTGTCTATCTATCAATTGAATTTATCGCACCACGCCACAGCCCAGGACCATGTGCAGTTGTGGAAGTGGCCCTTCTCTTGTGGGGCAGCACCCCAATTTTTGAGGGTAAAACATGTACTGGAATTTCAAGTATGTAGTGCAATAATATCAGGTGAATATATTACATTCCACGCGTTGGGTGGGTGGGCCTAATAAAGCCGAAAAGTCGCCGCACGCAAGAGCAACCAAGACAACAAGATGGACAACTGGACTTACTTCCACCTCGTTCTTCTTTCACCTCGCGACGTCGTCGTTCACCATCACCTCTCTTTATTGTCCGGCGCGTGGTGCAGTCCACTCTTCCCTTCTCTTTCTTCTTCTTCTTCCCTCTCTCTCTCTCCTGCGTTGGCGTTTCTGCTCCTGTCGTCGTTATCTCCAGGAGGGCTTGCAGCAACCGGGGTGGACTCAGTGGGGCGTCTGCTCGCCCTCCTCGCGGTCGATGGCGCGATCCTCGACGGTCCACTCCCCGATCTCCCGCTCGACGTTCTGCCGGGCCTTCTTCTCCTTTGCTCGCAGCGAGGTCCGGGCGTGCACGCTCGGCTTCCGTTCCCGCTCGGGCAGGGGCTCTTCTGCACACAAGTAGAAGAAGAGAGCGCGTGAGTCATAGTTGCGAGAGCTGGTGGGACCAAGCGTACGCTCTGGTGGAGCGGGTGACGGAATAGCAGTTGTTGTTGGTGTCAAACCTTCGACCTCTTTCTGGAACCCGAGGGACATGACGTCCTGGCCGTTCGTCTTCAGGAAGTCTGCACACATCCGACAATAAGTCATTTGTGTGTGTGTGTGTGTGTGTGTGGCTTCAAAATTGTACCTGTGAGGAGGCCGGTCTTCATGACTTCGGGGATCTTGAGTATTTCGGAGATGTAGGTCTGCAGCTTTTGCTTTCGCTTCTTCACGAAGTCCTCCTTGTCCGCGCCAAACATCTTCCCGCTCGGGAACTTGGGCATGCCGCCCTTTCTCTTCGTCTTCTTCAATCGCGCTCGCAACTAAAAGGGAAAGGAAATCCCCGAAATGAACACACGCACGCACGCACGCACAACACACGGCCACGAGGGCAGGTGTCTGGTGCACGTACCTGTGTGTGCATGTCCTTGAAGTCCGTGTAGGTCTTGTAGATTCGCCACGTCTCCTTTCCCAGGCACACCTTCAGGCGGAACACCTGTTGAGAGCGGCGTGGACCTTGAGTACGCGATCGCAAGCACGACAGGAGAGGGAGGGGGGGGGGAGAGAGAGAGAGAGAGAACGTACAGTATATGACATGAGTTTGTTCTTGCGGGTCTCGAAGCCAGTGATGAGCACGACATATCCAACCGACTCCTGATAAGCCAAATCCTGAGACGTTGGCAACACACAAAACGCAAAACGACCGAAACGTGGCAACGACGACAGCAGAAAAAAGAAAGCGATATTAATATTTAAAAAAGGTTATTCGACTGACAGAGCCAGCCAGATATGTGGGTGTTGATTGGGCGGGTGTATGTGTGGTGGTGGAGAATAATAGACTGTATAAGCCAAAGGGAGACATTGGGGGGGGGACACGTACCTCGAATCGCGAAGATATGTCCTGCACACGTATGTTAGAAGGCCGACTTGGCTTCTCCCACTCGTCCACGTCGTCGATGGCCGCGTGCTCAAACGAGTTGGCGACCTGTGGGTGGTAGGAGCGACTCAGGTTAACTGTTGAAGCCCCCCCTCCAGCTAGCAGCAAGGCGACCTGGAGGGTGGTGGTGGTGGTGGTGTGAGCATGGCGTGTGGTGCGTACCTCGCTGTCGTTTGAGGAGCTGCCCCAGTCGATGGAACGCAGGGAACACCGCCCGGTGCTGGAACGCCCGTTCGTGCCGCTGCGACTGCTCCCACTGCCGCTGCAGAAACACCAGAATTCCGCTCGTTAAGCACGCCCTCCACAAGCGCACATGACTGGGCGGGGTGGTGGGGTGAGGGTGGGGATGCGTACCTGCTTCCGGACTCCTTGTCGGAGCCGGCTCCGTTGTTGTGTAGGCGCACCGTGCTCTGTGCGTCACGCAAGCTCAGCTCGCTCAGTCCATTCTGTTGCAAGCGAAAAAAGCGATCATTAGTTGAGGCCGCGCTTGCACGCTTGACGCAAAGCGAATAGCTTGTCATGGGGGGTGGGGTAGTTCTGTACCAGAATGGGCGAGCTGTTCCTGATCCATGGGTGGTTGAGGAGCTGTGTCGCGGTGGCCCTCTCCGACGGCTCCTTCTTGAAGCAGCAAAGCAAAAAGTCTTGAAGGCCCTGTCGACGATTACCGATCGCCCATCGCCGACGCACGAGAGGTGGTGAGGTTACGGTGTGTGCACATACACAACACACTCGCGAGGAGTTCCGCTCTGTGTGGGCGAGAATCTTCAGGCGCGCGCGCGTCGGGGCGTACCTCGGAGAAGGTGTCGGGTATGGGCGGGTGGTCGTCCTGCACGATCTTGAAGAGCGCGGACATGGCGGGCATGTCGAAGTAGGGCGGCTCGCCCGTGATCAGCTCCAGCACAGTACAGCCCAGCGACCAGATGTCACACGCCGTGGACGGCGGGTCGAGCTGAATGATCTCTGGCGCCACTGTTGATTGGGGGAGGAGAGGGGGGGGGGCAAGTGGTGGTTAGCCCAGGGTCTCACCGCGTGTGGAAACTTCGAGCAATTGGGGCCAGCCGGGCCGTACTCCAGAAGGGAGAGCCCTCGACGAGGTCCGACTGGTCCCCGTCGCCCGCGTTGCCGGTAGTGGCAATTCCAAAATCGGCCAGCTTGACCAGGCCGTCGAGCGTGATCAAAATATTGGAGGCCTTGATGTCCCTGTGATGAAGGTGATGGTGATGATCGTCGCGGCCGACGGCGGCAATGCAAGCGGATCGGTCACGGTCAGCCCAACAGTCAACACCAAGAACGAATGCAGGAAAGAGCGAAAGGCCACCTGTGTGTGACGTTCTTCTCGTGGAGGTAGATGAGGCCCTTGAGCATCTGCGCGGCGTAGATGGCCGCCAGGCTCTCGGGAAACACGCCGAGCTTGTTGATCATCTGTAGGAGCGAGCCGTTCTCCACGAACCTGTTCGAAGCGCGCCTGGTGTGAGCAGAGCCAGACAACAAACTTCGAAGCGCGCATGGTGGTGGTGGTGCAAACGGCGTACTCGA